TTAATTAGAGATGACATATGCTAATCTACCTTCATGATATATGCTCAAAAACAACCCCTTTGCTAACATTGCTGGGACATGTCGGGAACATCTACAAGTGCTTGTAGATTACTATTTTTGCATACTACCATGATTGGAAAGTCATAAGAATGAGGTTCGGATAACAGATTTTAACCTTGGGAAATCTGATGGAAGTTAGAGAATTTTGTTAAAATGTTTATGTTTTGGGGGCTTGGTTAAACTTAAACAAGTTTGGTGAACCTGTAATCCAAAAGCCCATTTTCTTAATACTTTCAACAATTCATCAAGAAGGAAAAAGCACACACATATTCCATAATAACCCCTATAAGAAACTAATACTTTCAACAATTCATCAAGAAGGAAAAAGCACACACATATTCCATAATAACCCCTATAAGAAACTGCAATTATACTTAATTACTCCAAGAAGGAAAAAGCACACACATATTCCATAATAACCCCTATAAGAAACTGCAATTATACTTAATTACTCATGCATGGCCACCACAAGTCAATCAAGACTATGTTAATGTAAAAGAAAACTCAAAACAATGGCAAAGAAAGATTATAGCATACAGATTATAAGACGGGAATTGGGAGATAAGGAATATGCATGAATAAAACATAGTATCATCACCTAAGAAAGCACTAAAATGAATGTACAAACTGATACTACGTGACTCGAGACTGACCACAGTCTACCGGTCTTTCTTGGTTGCAACAAGACAACCAATCAAGAATGGTCCGCGAAATTGGAGAGAGTGAATGCATGAATGTAAAAGCAACGTTCCTCAAGAAAATTCTCCAATAGTAGAGATCAAAGTTCCTTAAGAAAATTCTCCAATGGTGGAAGTCAATGTTTTTCAAGAAAATCACCAATGACAGAGCTCCAACATAAGCTTTTAACCTTCCTTACCATCTCTGATGCCCTTTTCTCCGATGCCTACGGTAGGAAAAGGAAATTATGAATTTATACAAAGGCTGCATAGGCATAGTTAGATACATTCCCTACGGTTATTCTATGGTAACAATTTTTTAGTGGATTGATCTTGCTCCGGTTATTCTGTGGTAACAATTTTTATTGGATTGATCTTTTGCCGGCGGGTGAACTTCTCCTACTACATGAAAAGCAGGTGGCAGCTTCAAGGGTGTCCACTACTGGAGCCTGCTTGTAACTTTACCATCAGCTTTCTCTATGACGTGAGAAGCAGACGGTGATTCCAAAGGAGTATGATACTACAACATATAATTTGAAAGTAGCTCCGATGATGCAAACACAATAAAGTGTTTCCTTACTAACTCTCCCTATCTACAGCAGATTAACCTCCGATGAAGAAGAAAATGTTACTACAGGTGGGAGGATTGTCAAATGTATAAACCCTTTGCTTCCATTGACTGTCCCGCGTCCCACGAGATAAACGAGTTGTGGATTATGGAGGTATTGTCCTCCTTCTTTATCACTGACATCCCAATCCTCGAAAGAAGTTCATTTGCTGGTTGTTGACGAAAATTAAAGAAGCACGGTGTAACATCATCAAGAACCATCATTATCTTTCATGAATTCTTGTCAGTAACAACCTCTATGAAGATTAAGATGTTGGTGATGAAGAAGAAGACAACGCTTTCATCATCAACAACTGGGTTTTCTTTTGCAAGATGCATGCTTATTGAAAACTACCTCGCCCCTCGCCATCAGTGTTATGGTATGGCAAAGTTGATGGAAGCAAGGGGTGTATAAATTCGGCAAACCTATGATCTATAATATCGTTTTCTTCTTCATCGAAGGCTAATATGTGACAGATAGGAAGAGTCTGTTAAGAAACCTTTTATTTGGTTTGCTTCACTGGAACGACTTTCTAAGTAAATGTTATGATAACACACCCCTCTGAAGTCACCGTCTACTCGTCATGTAGTAGACAGAGTGCAACCGGACGAGAAGGATTGCCAGCAGTATCTGGTAGCATACACCCCTGAAGCCGGTGCCAACTTCTCATGTGATAAGAAAACTTCACCGAAATTGTTGCCACAGAATAGCTAGAGGGACTACATCTAACTCTGTCCGTGCGGCCTTCATCACCAATTAATTGAACTCTTCCCATCTTCTATAACCTTGATAGTTTTAAACTTCACTGACACTTAACTTCTTTCCATTGTGAGCTTTACATTATTTTTGCATGTCTTTGTTAGAATGCATTTTAGGTGTTATCAAGCGCATAACTACCATGAGTTGTAGTACCCTTTGATGCTCCTTGACTACATACCAACCACCCTCTTAATGCTTAGCTGTTGGCCTTTCATTGTGGATGAAGCAACAGCGGTTCAATATTTTCATATGATTTGCTCACACACTTAAATCTATTGCTACTATTAAAGCAAACAAGTTCTGGTTCTTGTGACCTCTTGGAGAGAAAAGCATTCTAACTCTGTCCGTGCAGCCTTCATCACCAATTAATTGAACTCTTCCCATCTGCTATAACCTTGATAGTTTTAAACTTCACTGACACTTCTTACACAAAATTTATTGCTGAAAATAGTGAAAGGACTCAAGAAAAAGTTATGATACATTAACTTCTTTCCATTGTGAGCTTTACATTATTTTTGCACGTCTTTGTTAGAATGCATTTTAGGTGTTATCAAGTGCATAACTACCATGAGTTGTAGTACCCTTTGATGCTCCTTGACTACATACCAACCACCCTCTTAATGCTTAGCTGTTGGCTTTTCATTGTGGATGAAGCAACAGTGGTTCAATATTTTCATATGCTTTGCTCACAAACTTATATCTATTGCTACTAATGAAGCAAACAAGTTCGGGTTCTTGTGACCTTTTGGAGAGAGAAGCATTATTGTGAACACAAGTTACACAACAGGTTTATAGTTGGTGTTAAGAAATGGATAATCAAAGTTCTCTCCTTCTTAGAGTAATTACACAAACCGGGAACCCGTTTTACCAATAAATTGTCAATACTTTTGAAAAGTATAGCATCCACCATAAACTTTATGAATTTCAGAAACTTCTAAGGGCATTGACAATGCATAGTAATTTACCATCTTTTCCCTCCTTCCTAAACTTTTATATAAGGTACCATCTATGTCACCTGGGTATTTCTATTAGGAAGCTGTGCCCATACCCGACATGTACCCATACCCGTACCCAAACTTCCTGGACACTTCTTGATATATTTATATGTTTATTCGGGCGTATAGTCAATTATATAGTACATGTTTTAATATAAATTGCTCCTCATACACTTGTTGGATGTATATTCTACGCATCTATCTCTTATATATTGATCTTATGTAAATGAAAAAAACAATATTGACCTTATGTAAACTATTAATTTTAACACATATAAACATACATAAAATGCATATATATAGTAGTGTCCCTGTACCCTACCTTTTAAAATTCGCCGTGTCCCCTATCCATACCCGTACAACTAAGGGTACCATATATAAAGCATGTGACATATTAAGAGCAATTTCATCCAGAAACTATAGTGTGCATATCACAAGACATTTCACTTATGAAAAGATGATAAAAGGTAGTAAATGAGATAGATTGTTCAACTTATAAAATTCATGGTAGTTTAGTAAGAGTGACAGAATTATCCATATACCTTTTTTCAATTGCAGGAACTGGGAAGTGCCTCAAGGGTCTTGGTGTCTTTTATTTGAATTATTGATTTGAATTATTGTGAATGACATAAACAGGAATGAACAACTTACACAGAATTTTCTTCATCGGAACAACTTAGTTCTGTCGTATGTATTTATAGACTAAGTTGAATTGCCAAACTGATGGGTTAGGTTGTTGACCTAATTTCTTAAGTCTACTCAGCCAAATTCAGTAGACAAAATAATGATTATCTGTGTGAGGATTTCCTTCCAAGGTATTGGGTTTTATTGTTTATAAAATTGATGATCTTTCTTAGGGCCAGTTTGATTGCTTTTCTTAGGGTGCTTCTGCTTATTTTTTTAAAAGTAGCCAACAATGGTGTTTGGAGAAAACTTTTTGGCATGCTTATTGAAAATATTTTTGGCATGCTTATTGAAAATATTTCTGCTTTTAAGGCGGTGCTTTTAAAAGCAACCTGGCGATGATTTAAAAGCAGCTTCTGGCTTTTTTTAGTTTACATACTATATATACCTTTTATCTTTTAATAATAATCATTAAACATAGTTTTACCAATAACCTTAGTTATTTTTTAAATAGTTTTTAATATTTGATTATCAAACATCAATTTTTTGCAGCTTGTATAAATTGCTTCTATAAGCTGCTTTTCTAAACAACTTTTTATAAGCTCCAGCAATACCAAACTGATCTTTACTACTCCATTGACATTTCCATAAAAGGCCAAATATCAAACTAAGCGAATTGTGTAAAAAGGGAAATGCTTCGTATTCTATGATAATATTGTCCACTTAGATGTCCATGATTTGCATCTTTTTACGACTATCACTATGTTGATGGTTTTTATGTAGTATAAAGCTCATACAACAATTAGCAAACCTCCAAGCATTCTTTAGACTAAGAGGTGGTAGAATATGATTTGGTTTCATTAAATTCTTCCCTAATGTAATTGGTTTCCTAGATTTTAAGAAGTTCAAGCCCATAGACGAGAGCACAAATGCTCTATTGAAACTTTGAGCATTATGGTGCATTCATTGGTCTAAAATCTGTTTAGCTATAGATATTCTTGTAGGGTTATGATCTTTAAAGCCTTTATGGGACTCTTAGACTCGAAAGTGGAGTCTTCATGGCAATATGGGGAAATTTGCTGCTGTATGGTACATTGATAAAAATACCATAAGAATCCGTACAGATCCGTGGTCTGTTCTTAATAAGCTCTTCTCGGTTTCCTTTTTCCCCCTCCTGTAACTTACATGGGAAAATACCAGCAGTATACTACAGTGACAGCTATGGGACTCTACTCCAAAGCGAGTAGCAGCACCACATCATTCCAGGTGACTTGACTTGAGTGTTTGCTTTTAATTTTGACAGCTATTTTTGATGGTAATCAATATTTCGCGTTCATGATTTTATTGGGAGATAACGATTACAGGAAAGAAGAGCATGTGACGACAATTGCGGGTGGATGGATGAGAAAGCACATTAATTCGATGTTTTCTTTTTTCGTGATTATTCGTGGACATGAAGAGCTAATCGAGAATGCTTGTAACTTTACCATCATCGTCTCTCTCCTCACCCATTCGAATTCGGGCTTAGTTCTTTCTGCCATGCCCCCCGCAGCTAAGAAGTCTCATCCTACTCACCTTGAGGTTAATACCCTTTTACTTTTTTTTTACAATTTTGCTGTTTCTTCACTCAAATCTGATTTTGTTTCTATTTTTGGTAATTTTTTTTATAGATGGTCGGAGAAGCAATCGGTTCTCTCAAAGAGAGAACCGGATCGAGCCCGCATGCGATCGCCAAGTTCATTGAGGGCAAGCACAAGACTAAGCTTCCTTCTAATTTCAAGAGCTTCTTCTCGTCCAGTTGAAGAAACTTACCGCTGGCGGTGAGCTCACCAAGATCAAGAACTCCTACAAACTCTCCTCTGCGCCGAGTTGTACGGTAGCTGTACGATTGACTGGTTATCCCAGAATTAGCATGCTAGCTAGTAGGGGTGCATTCGGTCCGGATACGGCTCGGATATGATGCTTATCATATCCATATCCGCTTACCCATCTCGGATACGGATACGGATACGGATATAACTCGGTAAGAAAAAATTATAACCATATTCGTTAAAATCGGATACGGTTACGGATATACATGCGGATATATAAGCGAATATGCATGCAGATACAACACAGATATGAGAAAACTAGATAGTATTGAAAAAAACATAGTTCATGTGATACAAAAAAGTTTGTTAATATGTCCATTATAATTGAAAAGTTAAGATTAGAAAAAACATAGTTCATGTGATACAAAAAAGTTTGTTAATATGTCCATTATAATTGAAAAGTTAAGATTAGACATCTTGATCATCAAAATTAACCACAAATCCATAATCTAAGAATCGAAACTATCGTAAGAGTATGACTAATATGTATTCGGATATTTCCAATACGGATATAGATATTTTACTACAAAACCATATCCGTAACCATATCCTATTGGTTATAGATTTGAGTGACCATATTCGTATCCTAACGGATACGGTTACGGATATTTTCTCGGATACGAATACGGTTTAGCACCCCTAGTAGCTAGTCATAAAAATGCCATGTTAAGAGTACTTGTAGATGGTCAGATGCTGAACTAGCCGTTTTTGACTCCTAAAATCAGTATTGATTGAGACATTTGGGGGGATAACGAGTTAATTTTGGGGATTCTATTCATAGTGTTATTCATTGGGATAATGGAACAAGGTTATTATTTTTGTGTTATTGGTTTTTTGAAACACTAGTGAGACAATTTCACCACTTGGGATAAAATTACCCCACTCATATACAAAATTTTGTCCCAATAGTAAAAATTTACCCCATCATCTATATTTGAACAATTTTGTTCCACTTTGAAGGCAATTGGTATAATTTTTAAAACTTTTTATATTATTTAACTAATACATGCTAATTATATTAAATATATGACATGATATTTAAAATATAAAGTAATAATACATTCAATATATTATATTATATTATCGTGTAATAAAATAAAATATTATTATAGTTTAATTTATATGTATAATTTATTTTATTATATTTATGATATATTATTATGCAACATCACATACTATATTATATAATAGTACAACATATTTATTATAATATTATATAATATTTTAATAACATATAGTAATACATTTTAGATATTTTTTATATCATAGTAATTATCATATAATATTATACTATATTTTAATTATAATATAGTATTTTAAATAATATTATATTGAATCAAAAATATTATAATATTTTATGCGGTAAATTTTAACCTATGACTCTGTTCTAATATATTAAATTAAATATTATATTAAATACATTATTTATATATTATATCAGTTATTATATAGATGACATACTATTATAATATAATATAATAATTACTAATATTAATAAAATATTATGATATAATATAATATAATACTATTATAGATGTCCGAGATAACACAATCGATGAGAGCTATCCGCTGATGACGAAGAGTGAGAGGATGAGAGATGGGACCGACTCCTCCTCCGACTTTATGCCCAATCCTTAGACTGAAATTCCTGATCCTTCTACACAATGAATCCGTAAGAAGACGGAGCTAGTTTCCCCTGTGGTACCTCCGACGGTCAAGTCAGCTGGTGAGCTTGAGTGTGGTTTGAGGGAGAGTCCCGGGACCATTAAGATCATTGTCAGGGGGTACTCTGTGTAAGTTATTAATAAAAAGAAAGTTGATCAAGAGGGAGAAACTGATCCCCCGAATTCACTGAATGTCCAGCCTCTTCGTAAGTCAAGATTAAAAAAAGAAGAAGAAGAAGATGATGATGATCCTCTCTCCCTTTCTCCTTTGCACCTTACCTTCCTTTTATTGTCCTTCGCCCTGAGATTCTAACCCTTGACTTTCATTATGCACAGGAGGTGTGGTGAGTAGACAGGCTGCTGAGTCATCCTCCACTTTACAGATGTCGGCTGACGACCGGAGGGGAAGTTATTCGGGCACAGTAGAGAATATCTTAGTAAAATCTGGGAAGTGCCTTGTGAGCAGAGTAAGCTGTTTATGCCTGAGATTTGTCAGAGTTGAGATCTTGTCAGAGTTGAGATCTTGATGGGATCGATCAATGTTGTAGTGTCGATTGATGTATATCTGAATGGAGCTTAGTTGGATCTTATCCCCTCGGTAGAGACGGGTTGGTTTTCGAGCCATCCCTATGATTTTCTAACCAGATAGTCGAGTGAGCTTCTGGCCGAGGAGACAGCCGAGTAGACGGTTGAGCCGAATATTTGAGGAGTCGTCTTGATTATGAGGCGGCCAGACTCTTGAGGAGTCGTCTTGATTATGAGGTGTCGACTGATCCCGCACTTCGTGTCGGTAAAGATGTCTCGTCGCTCGGCGGGTCAGTAAATTCGTTCTTGGCTGGGTTTTTTGGGCCGCTAAGCTGGTTTGGGCCATAGCTCTTTTGGGCCTATGAAGACATAGTTTCTTAAATTCTTTGTTTTTAGGTGGTGAATTACCATAACAACTATAGTTTGAAATAATATAATATATTATACTATAACATGATACCTTTTAATATATATTATTATAATTATCATGTAATATATATATATATATATATATATATATATAATATTTTAATTATAATATAATATTTTAAAAATATTACATTGAATAAAGTAAAATATTATAATATTTTATATCCACGATCACCAACGTGAAACTCCCAGCGGTTTTTCCTTCTCCAACTCCCAGCGGTTTTTCCTTCTCCTCTAATCAATACTAGGTCTATTTACTCATATTCTCAACTTTCCTATTTACTCGAATCTTTATCTTTTCTCTCTTCGTTCTTTTTTTTTTGGGTCTAAATCCCTAACTAATCGATTGATCGATCGATGCCGATCGCGTTGGAGAGAGGAGGGGAAATCGAGCGATTAGGATTCGATCGTCTCAGCGAACGAGGAAGAAATCGAAGAGGAAGAAGACGAAGGATTCATCGTTGTCGTCGTTTCTTCCGCCGTGATCGAGGAAGGGAAATAGAAGGAGTTGGTCCAGTTCTCGACGACGGCGAAGTCGAGGCGGCCAAGGAACGCAATCTCGACGACGACGATGAGGCCGATGAAGAGAGGGACCGAGAGATCCGAACTTCGCCTCCGTCGCTGCCGCTGCTGAGAGGAGGAGCTCATCGTATTCGGGTTCGGGTTTGAAGTCGCACTTCGCCTCCGTCGCTGCCGCTGCTGAGAGGAGGAGCTCATCGTATTCGGGTTCGGGTTTGAAGTCGCAGTGCCCTGTTTGGGTCGAGCGGTGTTCGCTTGAGGAGGTAATTTTCACCATTTTTTTATTTGAAGTCGCAGTGCCCTGTTTGGGTCGAGCGGTGTTCGCTTGAGGAGGTAATTTTCACCATTTTTTTATTTTTTCATCAATTTGAGTCTGTTTTCGAACGACTTTTAGTTTGAGAACGAGAATTTCTTCGCTGAAACTGATTGATGAGATCGCGAGATCTGAGGAGGAGAACGAGAGTTTCCAAATAAACCAAGGTTTGATTTTCTGATCTTTTCCCTTTTTTATTTGTTTTTTAATTTATTGGTTGATTTTGAAGAAACTGGTGAAGGAGTTGATTTTGGAATTTGCATTCGTGAAATCGATTAGACCTTGATAAGTTATTATTCTTATCAAGAACGATTAAATGATATTGCACTTGATAAGTATAATATTGAGGTAGGTTGGGGAAAATAGCAAGTTTGGTTCCAACTTAAGGGATGAATGAAGTTAGTTTATTTTTCACATTGTAAATGATATCGAATATGAATGCTTGGTATATGTTCTTTGGATCCATAATCTTATGGATCAATTTTTTTGGTTTTGTACAAACAGAGAATATAGAGCAGAGAGATAAGAAAGCGAATTAATTTGTATCTAGAAAGAGCAAAATAAAGCGAGCATCTCTGTCCTATTAAGGAGAATGGTATCCAAGAAAGTTAAATAAAATCTCCTTTCTCTTTTAAAACTATCCCTCCTCCCTATATTCTCAAGCACAAAGGCCAAATCCCTCATATTGCTTTAGATTGATACGAAGGTCAAATCCCTCCTATTGCTTTAGATTACAATTTCTTATATATATTTGATCAGTAAGCCCCTTACCTCTTTGTTCTAAACCACATAGCCACCTAATATATCTTGAATTCTTGACATGCCATGCTCATCTCATAGAATCTTCGTGACTTGCATTAAAATATTAATCTCTACATCTTGTGACAGTGTTACTCAGTCTTAAAGATGCATATGAAGAAGCATTGAGAAGAAATGATGTGAAAGCCATTGTGGTTACTGTTAGCCCTTATGTTTTGATGATGTTCTTACAACCACCATTATCGGTACTAATGGCTTATTGAGTGTAAATGTAGTAAAATCATTTGTCAAGCTCGTTAGTGCCATTAATGGAGGATGGATGGAATATATGCTACAACGAAGATATCCAAAGGAGGAGGAGGCCAAGAGATGAAGCAACGTTATTTCAAGAACGTCAAATTCGATTAAAAGCTTCATCCGATTCAAGCTATATCAAAGCTCAAGTATATTGCTCTCTATATGAGGATATTAGCTTTCTTTTGTTTTTCTCTCTAGTGCTAGAATGTAGGCAAAGAGTTACTGAGTTTACTTGAAGCTATTGGGAATCACACACACGTTTTTAAACTTGTGCTTTTAAGCGTTTTTCACAAAATTACTATTTTTCACAAGTATGAGTACCTATCTGCAAAATTCTTTTTCCAAACAGTTTGTTTTTAGTATTAAAAACATTTTACAAAGTTTCAGAATTTTCAGAGGTCAAATAAATATTTTGCAAATATTTCAAGTTGGGTCAAAATCTGTTTTCTGCAAAATATCAGAAAGCGGTCGACCGGTCCGGTCGACCGCTCCCATCGCCTTTCCTACTTCCCAGCTTCAGTAACCTTTCTCTTTGTCATAGGGGTTGTGTAAAGAGAGAGTCTTTTACTTTTTTCTTCTGCTGTGAGGGTGAGATCTTGTGTAAGATCTACTGTGAGGGTGTG